TAGATAGATAGATAGATAGATAGATAGATAGATAGATAGATAGATAGATAGATAGATAGATAGATAGATAGATAGATAGATAGATAGATAGATAGATGTGTGCAATGCCTCTCACTAGCTCCTGTAAGTTTGTATAGATTCAGGTGTAGAGTGCATTTATATTGAAAAGCAGACAGGCACCTCTTACGTTTATGCGCGCTTGGTACTCGGCGCTACCGGCCGAGTTGCGTGCGACGCAACGATACACTCCTCCGTCTGGAATAAGTGGACTGCTGACGTTGACGTGCGATACAGTCAGGCCATCCGACAGGGTGTACTGGCTGGTCTTGTAGGTTGAATCTCTAACCACAGGTTCATCGTCCAGTGTCCACGTGATAGAAGGGGGTGGGGCTCCTTTGGCCGCACACATAAGGGAGAAAGGCTCGCCGGGGTTTACCACCCGCTCGCTGAAGGAAGACACAATACGAGGAGTACCATCTGAGAGGACAGGGGGAGAGAGGAAACAGAAGGACATAAATAGAAAGTGAGAAGTTCTGACAGAAAAGCAGAATACTTGAGAAGTTGCAAAGCCCACAGCAAACATATTAGCTTTGAACACAAAGACTATGGCGCCTAATACCTGCACTTATTTAAGTCACTGTCCACGTACCCTCTAGCAGAATAATAGAGAAGTCCTGAGCAGTGTGGCCCTTTCGGGAAGCAAAGCACTGGTAGGCCCCAGAGTGAAGCTTCTGTGCTGCAGTGATCTGCAGGGTGTCATTGTGTTGTCCTTGGATGGAGATGTGCTCGTCTGGGACAATTGGCTCTGTGTTCCTGTACCAGGTGATGGTGTATTCTGGAGAGCCTTCCACAGTGCAGGTGAAGAACAGTGTGCTGCTGATGCCCGTTTTCAGATTCTTAGGGGACAAGGTCACTCGTAGTGGATCTGAGAGAAGACCACAGGAGTTCATAAAACAAAAATGTGGATCACTTTAATAGTATATCTGCTATAATAATCAAAAGGCATCAATGTGATTTGTAGACTGCTAACTTACCTTTTTATTTACTAATTATATTATCTTATTTCAAAAGGTGTTTTTTGTGTCTTTTGCCTTTCCTGCATCACTCTAAAATCATTAAACTGGATTCAAAACATGACACATGGTGCTTACAGTAGGCGTTTTCATTCACAGAGATGGGGAGAAAGAGAGCAAGTTCAATCAGCAGTGGTGACTCAATCAGTTGGACGCACTCATTAAAAAAGCAGCTGGAGATATCGCTTCACATCTCTGTCCACTTGTGTGTGTGAGTGTGTCTGTGTGTCAGCAAGAACGCGTGTCTACATGTGTGTATGTGTGTGTGTGTGCACGCAAATGTCAGTGAGCAATAAGGCAGCTGGTGGTGTATGCTGGGGGGCATCACTGTGCCTCCCAACCCCCCCTACTCACCCTGTCAGAGTCACAGACTGTGCTGCCATGATGTGCCCACTGGCAAAGCCTACCGCCTCTCTATTCTCTCGCTCTATCTCGCCTCACTCCCTTTGTTTCTTTGTATACTTTACACACTTTAGCTCAGCCTTTCTTATTATCTCGTTATTACATTGTAGATAATGTCATTCCAGCACTGTCTGGGTGTCCGACCGCCCCCCGCATGACCCCTTGTCTTTATCTCTGTCTTCCTCACTCTTCTTCTTTTCTGATGGTAAATGGTGTTGGCAGCTGTGATATGGAATCAGCCTGAGCGAATTACCGCCCTGTCTCTCCTTTTGAGGTCTGATATGATGGGACATCCTACAGCTCACACATATGTTTGTAACAGACACACTTTAGCTTGGACTTACATGTGCGCCCCAAACCAAACACTTAAAGGTGCTTACAACTGTGTCTGTCTGTAAGGCTGATTCACTGACAAGACAATGAGCCAGTCTGCCAGATATTTTGCAAATGTGTGTGAGCGTGTGTGCGTATCTGTGTGTAATGAGCCTCACACACCTATCACGTGAAGCTGTCCAGACACCTCCTTTGAGCCAAAACTGTTGGTGACCTCGCATGCATAGCTGCCGCTGTCTTCTTGCCTCAGGTCACTGATGGTCAGCCCTGTCAATCGCCGCGTCCAGCGGGCATCTGAGGGTAGTGGGCGACCATCTTTCAGCCAGCGCACAGTAGGGCTTGGGTATCCTCCCGCTATGCAGGGGAGCTCAATGCTATGGCCTGCATAGACCTCCCCTGCTTGGAAACTGTCCAGGATGGTGGGTGCAGACTCGTTGGGGTCTGGAATGCAGACATGGTGTTACATTTTTGTCAAGATAAAGAGAAAAAGGTAAGTTCACACACCAGTTACTCACCCATTACAGAGAGCCTGGCTCCATTGCTTTGTCGTGTCTCGCCACTGTATTTATGCTTGGTGATGCACCGGTATGTAGAGAGAGCATCCTCTTTTTGAACATCGGAGATGTAAAGAGCCCCAAAGGAGGTCAGCGAGAACCTGTTACCTGAGGAAGACACATTAACAAAAGATCAACATTAATCTTCTTAAAGGAGAAGTGACAACAGGCAAAACATCACTCCGAAGAACTTGTGTGTAAAAAACTTTTCACTCCCTCCTGTTCCCACATTTTCGTGATGATCACTCTCGTTCAAATACATAGTGCATACTGCAAAACCATATTGTTCTTAGAACAAACAGCTGCCTGAACAGTTGGCACTACCTGCCTAATAATGCTGCTTCCCAAAGCCTGGCACTCTTTCAAGACCTGGAGGACACCCAGCGGTCACTTACACCACCCACAGACAGAGGAGAGACAGATTTACTGTCTCCCTCCACACACAGCTTATAACTCTTGCACATCACACTAACTACCATCACAAAACTCGTTAAGTGTTCTTCCTTTTATGCATGATAAGAAAACAGGAAGGCCAAAGATCAAATGTGCCTCTGTGTCTTCTCTTTCTTAGCATTTGTTTTATGCTACTCAAAGAACAGTTATGTCAGCATTACAAAGTCTTCAAGCTGTGTATAGTGAAGGCAGACATCAGTTTGCAATGACTCCCTTTACCAAGATATTCTTGCGTAATTTATACAGAACATTGTTTCTTTGCATACAGGTAAGCTATCTTACATTTCCTGATAAAGTCCACAAACCTCACATTAACGAAGCTGTACTATGTCTTCACAGCACAAATAATCTCATAGTTTACCTTAAGTGTGACAGTCATTACAATAAGATTTCTTTAGGTTTGTAAGCATTAATTATCAATTGTGCCTTTTAGCATCCAACCACGGGGCAACAACTGGACTGGCTGCTTTCACATTCACCAGCATCAATATTTAAACTACAGAGTCTGTGTTTATCAGGGTCTTTCAGAGGGTTGAGCAGGTATACGGAAGGTAGCAGTTATGCACTGTGAATGTGTTTGCATCGAATATACTGTATGACCCGGGAGGAGGCACAGGCTGCAATTTCACAGCAGCCTTTGTTTGCCCCCTTAGAATGAAGCCTTACAGGATAATGAGCACTTTAAGACTGCTACTCCCACAACACCGACGACTAGCCTGTCACAACACTCTGACATAGGCAGGGAGAGAGAAACAGAGAGAGAGAGAGTCAGCAGGATCTGTCAAAGCCATTCTTTCTGTCCCTGTCTGCAGCAGTGAACTGAATTCATCCCATCTGCAGCCTCTTAAACAACACTTATTACACAATACACATCACATTAGTCCTCTCACTATCCAGCCATCACAACTGAGTGGTTTGTTCATAGAATCAGTCTATCGTTGGTTGACTCACTTCATGTCTTTGTGTGAACCATCATCAGTCTCACCCTTTTCCTCTTGCTCTCTCGCTTTCTCGCTGTTTTCTTTTTTTTTTGTTGCTCTGAGTTTCTAAGCAGAGTGGCAGACAGAGTAAAATATTAATTACTAAATCCGAAATCACTGTGCTCCCTCAGCTTTTATTCATGCTGACTTGACTAGACAATGAGAAACAGAACTGTACATCTTTCTCTCTCTCGCTCACACACACACACACACACACACACACACACACACACACACACACACACACACACACTCTGCTTCAGGAGAATACGCAGAAATGCATGCATACTGTACAGGCATTCTGAATATAAAAACAGTACAGTAGTTTCTGTTGCAGGTTTCTTTTTCGTTGTGCCTCCTTCATGTTACACAGACCCTTACAGAGCTTGAAGATGATGGATTGGATTTGATTTGTCAGACTCAAAGCTGTATTTTGTCTTTAGTTTCAACTCGTCCATGTATACTAAGCATAAAGGAAATCAGAGCCATGCACATGTATGTATGTACTTAATTTGGAAGAAAGATGCAAAAACACAAGTGCAGCAGATAAAACTTAAGTTGGAAAACTGTTAACTCTTGAGATAAACCGCAAAATAAAGATTCTAAAGTCGGATTTAGACTTCTCTGTGAAATCTACGTCCTAACCTCAAGCCTTTTCGGGCTGCGTCGAACCAACGTGTATTTACATTTCTCTGGAAGTGCATCTCAGGTTATGTGAAAGGTTGCAGCATAGCGTTTTGTAGGAGCTTCTGGTTTTGTTGTAAGTTACTGTGTAGATTTCCTGCTGAAGCATAATCCAGGGATAACCCAGCACTTACACAGCTCAAGATTTGCATTTTGAAATGTTTTATTACCTTAGCATTAGATTTTAAAACACTGATCAACAAAAAAAAGCAATATATAAATACCAGCCTGTTTAACATCTAACCAAAACGGCTGTAAAATTTAAAAAAAAAGAAACAGAGCGAGGCACTTACAGATCCTCAGAAATGCTCTGAAAGAACCATTTAAAAGGTTAAATAATTTTGTATCATGTATAAATGATTCTTTAAAGAGTCCTTTCACCCGAGAAGAAGTGCTTTGAAATAAGCTGCATGGCCTAGAGGATTGTGACATTGTTAGATCCTGTATGAGTTTGGTCACTCTCAATGAGATGCATTCACAGGCAAAAACAGGGTGATGCCCAGATGCAGATGAAGTCCAGAGGGGAACTATTTTTATCTCCTTCTGCAGCTGCATGTACGGGAAAGGGATTTTTATTTCTGACAGAAAAAAACTGTATATAGTGTGGATAATTTAATGGTTTAATCAGGAGTGTACATTTTTTAGTTTTGATGAAATTTTTTAAATAACTAAATTGGATTTGCTCTTTTTCTCCCTTTTTTATGTAAATGTTGGCACATAGAGATAAACTAAGGTTATGTCTGCTATTCTAAGTCTATAAGAGAGCCCAGTTACTCATGAGCAAGGCACTGCAAAAGCCACCTGCTTTACCCAATCACTTAATGGTGTTTCACCAGGCAACTACTCTGTAGCGGTGTATACTCCAGCTGTATGCTCTGCAATGTTAAACAGGGCATTAGTAAAGTTAAAGTTCCTACCAAGCCTGTGATAAAGGTGTGCTTTCACTTTATTTTTTAAACCAACAAAATGCCGGCAGCCTCACAGTCACACAGACCAGAGCTGCTGCTCTGACAAATTCCAAAGAGAAGGAAGGAAAGGGGAATTAATAGAAGTGTAAATGTGTGAGAGAATAGGAAAAAATAAAAGCAAGAAATAGTCTATAAATAGGATGTATACTGTAGCTCATGCGAGTCCAGCAGTGTGTATGTGTGCGCACCATGTGTGCGAGTTAGTAGCAGCCTCATTTTCTCACATGCAAATGAAGGCGTCGGCGCAAAGATAACGAGGCCCATATTTCCACCTCCTCAGTGGGGCCATTATTTATTGATGTTCTGCATCTTTCCCCCTCCCTCCCACTCTCACGCTTTCTTCATCCTCTCCCTGTTGCTAGGGTCTTCTCACTGGCATCCTGTTACGATTTTGGTGTACTTTCAGCAATTATTAAAGCACAGCGTGTTTACAATCATCAAGGACCAAATGTTGATACCCTAGGTGTTGTGTGAATGCAAAAATCGCAACGGTAAACTGGCTGTTGAAGTCGCTTAAATCAATAAAGAAAAGTAGGATCAGTTTGAAGTGGCTAAATATAGCTTTTCACATGCAAGTAGCTTTGTATCCAATCACAAATACTTTACAAAAACATACAACACAATGCACCGTGTTATAGCTTCCCGATTTCCTAAGCCTCAGTTGGAGGTTTGCTGGTTTCAGAGATCATTTAATCCAGTTCTGCACCTCAAAATCATGAAAATAACTAACAATTTGTCACCTCCTTTAACTAACTAATAAAATATTTGGAACTTCATTCATGAACAGTTTATTCAGCACTATTCCCAACAGGGAATCCGACCTACATGTTTAGAGGTGCAAATTTCCACAATATCCTATATTAAAGGCACCTAAGCAAGAATTTTCTTATGATACTAACCTGCTCAGATTTTCCAGTGTACAAGAAGACAAAAAACAAAACAAAACACTGACAGGTCTGAGTAAAACACCTTTGCTCCCATGGGACTTCCAGTATGGACCCCATATCTAATGAGTTTGGAAAAGGCTAATGAGCTATAGAACTCTGATTCCTGTTTTCCTCCTGGTGGATCACTACAATCTGACCCCTGGATTCTTCATCTTACTCAACCCTGCTGATGGTCAAAGGCAGTAGATGCTTGTTTCTAAGGGCTTTCCCAGTTAAATGAAGGTTACTGCGCATTATGACGAGTGTAAGGTAGCACACGGAGAAGGTCAAAGGTTTTAGATTCCTTCAAACAATCACAACATTACAGTGCCTCTCTCTACACAGAGGCTTTCAAACAAAATTGGGACTGTCGTTTCTCTGCACATTTCACGTGTCACAACACTGATGTTTAATATCTACCTGAGGCTTTTAATGTAAATTGATTCATTGTAACAAACTGTTGTAAAAATGCAGGAAAATTTGTGACTGAATGTATAATTTTTTTTAAATACTGTACAATACTTTTTAAAATCACAAGCATTAAACTATTAAACATTTTAATAATTTAATAATTGACCACAAAGTGTTGACAGTTTGTTATTCCGAAAGAATATCAGGAAGTCGGGGGATTGATTGATTAAACAAATAAGGACAAAAACTACACCTGAGACTTGAGCTCTGGTACTTTTACATCTCAAAAAAGTGAGTAAACCTAAGATGTAAAAATACATAAAAAAATAAATAAATAAAAAAGAATAATCATCAATCAAAGTTATTTTTTGAATAGTGAATTAAAGCTGAACTGAAAAAACCTAGTAAATCCAATCTGGATGCTACCTGAAACTAATCTGACTTTAAAAATAATTAGAATATATAAAACTATAAATAATAAACCTGACAGTGGGTTTATTTTGTAGCATAAACAATACAGATGCCATTTTTAACACTTTGTTAAAGATGGCATCTGCACTATTGAGCAGAATAAAGTGTAAAGTACAGAAAACCCAGAATGTAAAATGTCCCCATGTGAAAACGTGGGGTCTCAGGAGGCACAGGGGTGAGGACATGCAGTTATATGTCAATGTAAGAAATTGTTA